AAAAGCTTCTGCTGGGAAATCTTTCCAGGATTTTCCATGCCAGCAGATATAGGAGATTCCCTGTGCCTGTGTATTAAGCAGAGGTTGCGTTTGCTTTTATATATATGAAACAAATAAACATAAGGTCCTGTTATATCTGTTATATCTGTTGCTTGTCAAATGTCTGTATCATTCTTTACCTGCTTGTCCTGTGCATAAATATCTGGACTTCAGTTTTGGCTCTGCAAGGCATTGTGGCATAGGTGTAATTTGAAATGCTTTAAGTGCGTAAACATGGATTTTATTAATACCTTTCATATGTTTGAAATTATACATATGCACAAGCAGCTTACTAAGAGATGGCACTATAAATTACATTTTTGCATTCAAATGTAATCCCAGAAATGTAAAATTTAAAATCTTTAGGAAAAAATTAAAACCTGCATAATTACCAAGTCCACTGTGTCAGATCAACAGCCTTCAGGAACACAGTGGTCTAGCAGTCCAAGGTTCATGGGTTTGTTAGAAAAAATATCAAGCTCATGGAAAATTGCCTAACTAATCATCTAAAAAAAGAAGGATAAAATGTAATAACAAGGGCTTCCTGATCCCTCTTCTATATATTTAAATTTTAGGGCTTTTAAGCTATATAAACAATAACAAAACATTTGGGCAAGGTACTACCCATATATTCGACTGAAAAAACATATATGTATGGAATTACAGAGGTCTAAAAAATCTGGAAGTAGCCATCTGGTAATAGAAAATGTATTTTTTATGAACCAATATCACTGAACTGTGGCAAGACATGGATGTAGACAAATTCTAACATTGCAGGTCTGATTCAGAGTTCTGCTATGCTGAGCTGATAGTTTGAAGGAAATAGGATAGATGGAATCAGATAACTTCCAGCTTTGCATGGGCTTTCTTTCTCCTCAGGGATATAGGCTATCCTTTTGCTCATATTCTGTGGCAGAAACCTAAAGGACTGAAGCAATCTCACTGTGAGGAAGCAAGCAACTCAGATGAATTTAATAAATTGAATTGGTTTATAGCAGGATAGCAGAACCTCTTCTGGAGGGTCTTTCCAAGGACAAAGCAAGCAATTCACATTTGGTTCAATAACATTCGCTTACATAGCAGGAAAGAATAATTACCCCATTGCCGGAATGAAAGGTGAAATTTAATAGCTTAAGTTATTTTGTGGGTCAGATAAGATAATCATGGTAGTTCTTTTTGACCTTAAAATCCATGGATCTGTGCATTAAGCTGTAGAGGCTTGTCTAGATTTTTATATACAGGCAAAAAATTGAATACTGTTTGGAAAGATTAGAAACTTTCTTTTCCTCCCTCTTGAGGACACGACTGGAGGCAAATACTGATTTTACCTATACTTTTAAAAATCTCCAACATTTTTTTCATCCCCTCAGACTAATTATGATTTTAGCAGCTTTTGCCATCTTTGACTTGATTGTTTTACACTGAATTTAAAAGTCCCAAGCAATGAATACAAGTATATATCTTTCATCGACATTTTCAACACACAGTGCATGGCAAAAAATAATGAATATGAGACACTATTTCATAGGTTCACATTAACTTAGCATGATAACAAAGAAATGCTGAATTACACAGTTTGATTGCCTAAAAATTGGGTGAAAGGAATTATTTTTATTTCTGTGATAATACTTTAAAGTAAATCAATAAATCGTGAAAAGCTGATTGTTGTATTACTTCAAGCCTCTGAAAATACTTAACATCTCCCGGTTTCTGTGAACAGCAAAGGAAAAATCAGAGACAATGACCAGATTGTGTTTATTTTCATGAATTATTTTTCCAACTCAAACTGTCTGCTGTATTCCAAAAGAGTGCAATTTGCTAGAAATATTTCCACAAAATAAAAGTATCAAATGCAAAAATAGTGGCACCCAGTGGTCAAGACATACCTTATTTTTATGCTCAAAACAGCAAATTATTTTTTGAGAAGTGCCACACATCTTTCAGCCAGAATATAGTATATCCTTTTTCAATGAAAGGACCAATTCCTACTTCAACAGCATTCCTTGCCATAGCCTTGGTTTTCTCATGTTCAATAAGTTCCACATTCATTTTGGGATAATCTATTTCTGTGAGCAAAGTGGGTCTGAGTAATCAGCGCAAGTTGTTGATTGTCTATAAGGTAATTAATTCCTGAGAGGACACATCTGAAGAAAAGATTGTATTCAAAGATAAATCCAAAATTTCTTCTATTCAAATTTCATATATTCTTTGCCTTTGTTAAAATGTGGGTTTTGGAAATTTAGAAAGAGAAATTGAATAATTCAGTGGTTTACAATGATGATGTGACTTCACTTCAGTTTAGTTCAGTTTCCTGCTTAACTGTTGTACAATGCTTCCTCTACCTTACCAATGCATATTAGTCCATACATGTAAAAGCCTATTCAAAGTCTTGTGATTCTTCTGGTCAAAACTGCTAGCATACCTTAAGCTGCTTATCAGCTCAAGATAAACTACCAGTTCTCCATTGCTGTCCAAATCAACTTTACATAACCAAATATGTGCTTTCACCATTCACTGCAAAAGAATTATGGAGCAACTGAATGTAGAGGCCTTAAAACCATTGTCCACCAACAATAGCTGCTGAAAACAGCTCACCTGTAGGTGGAATTCAAAAATCAAAACCAAAGAATTCATCAGGAGAAGAGGATAAAAAAAAATAAAATAAAAGAAAATTGTGGGGTTTTTTTGTTGTTTTTTTTTCTTTAAAAAAAGAATTGTCATGTGCTATCCATGGTAACAACTACCTCCAATATTGAGTTAACATCTGTTATCTCGCAGCATTATCATTATAACTATTATTATGTACAAAAGTCAGCAATCAAAATATTTCTGGGAATATATGGCTCTACAAAAAGTGTTGTCATTGGATGTTTTACACTTTTATTTTACAAACACAAAGAGGATTTTTTCCTCTTTGGAAAGCAGTTGTACATGACATGTCTTTAAGTAAAAATGCCATAGAAGCTACAGGTATTTTCTTCTCCACTAAAATGAAATTTTGCTGGTTTTTTTGTTACACCTTGCCTTTAGGTAAATTCTCTTCCTATTTGATCAGCATAACAACCAATGTCAAGTCAAAACTAATAATATTTGAATGACTTCTAAGACATTCTGAACCATACTGAATCAGAAGAAAAAAAAAAACAAACAAAAACAAACCAAAAAAGTCCAAAATATATAATTAATTATTTTTGTTCAAAATCTGAAAGTATTTACTGAAAATTTACACATATCCTCAAATTTAATGTATGACTCAGAATATTTACTTTTTTCACTGTAGATTGTACAAATATAAAAAAAATAATCATTCTAGGGGACTGTTTGAATTAAAATAATGGTGAACTTAATTTATTTGAATTACAATTATACTACCAATATTAAGTAGCTAATTACTTTTTATTTTACTCTACATTGATCAGTTTGCTAACAAGTATGCTTAGAAGTTCATATTAGTCAGAATAAAGTCATATATCTCAATTAAAAAGGAACAGAATAACCTAATTCATCTGAAAGTACAGTGAAAATGAGATGAATATGGTATTTTATATTAATGCATTTACAGATATAATTAAGAGGCCTAAAAATAAGATTGGATAAAAAAAATATTTTACTTTCTTTTCAGATTTGACTTACAAAGCTATAAAACAGATATTAACACAGATTCATTTTTAGCTTCATCAGAAGACCTCAGCCCCACTTACAACTAGCTCATGAAGGAAAATTCAGTGTTTGTAGAATAGAAATTAATTTTCTACTTTGTGTTTTTCTGCTAAAATCTTCTGCCTCATGAGGGAAAAATCTGACTTCTTATCCTGTTAATTATGATAGAAAGCATAATTTTGCAACAAGTATAAATAACTGCAAATGTCTGTTAAGTCCTTATTTAGCTCTACTTCAGGAGACACACTGTGTTTTTCCAGCAGAGCTGTCTGCCTTTGAGACTGAATCAGCTCTGAATTACCTTCTTTCCTACTTCTCTTCCCTTCCCTCAAGTGTCAATGCACCAATGCCTTTTTTTAGTATCTTCCTTTGTGGATTTACCTATTTAAATCATATTCTTTTATTGTTCACTCACATAGTTTAAAGCGTGTAGAAGACCCTAGACTGCATTTGGTTTTGAACTTTGAATTTCCTTAGTAAATAAACTGTAAAGAAATTGTGGTTCTTAAATAAGGATCAAAAGTGATGAGCAATATCCAAGTATTCTCATCCTTTTTACTGAGGTGACCCTGGATGCCTTTTGACTACATTTTCTGTGTTTGAGTAGAAAGTTATTGTGGAGACCATTTCACAGAAATTAACACCAAAACAAAACAGGCATTTGGAAATCCTGTACAACTCAAGAAGATGAGCTCCTGAAGAAAGAAATGGCACGAATTAAAGTTGAAAAATACATTTAGCCTGTTTTCAATGAGCTGAACTACTTGTAACTCTTGAAAAAAAGGTATTAAAGATATCTGAACATGCATAAGAAGTCTGTTGTGTCCATCCCACAGCACCATCTACTAGAATATGAGTTCACTGGTTAATTCCAGAGTAAGGTTGCTACTTATTAGAACAACTGATTTTTAATTTTTTTTTTTTATCTTCTGCAGAACAAGATCCAGATTTTTTTGGGGAAAAAAGTCTATAGAAATAAATTGCATTTTAAAATAAATAAGTTGAGGTCAAATTTAATACACTTGAGAAAATAATATGGGGTTTTTTTAGCACTTGCCAATGTCATGTGTCTTGCTATTGAAATAATATTATTCTTGATCAAAATATAAAATTTCCATTTCAGAGGTCTTTGTCTTCTTGGCTTTCAGAGTTTGTGGAAAAAATGTTAAGGGTTGGAGTAGCATTTTGTGAGATAGTTTTTCCTGGAACATATCTTAATAGAGTTCAGATTCTTGAGCAAATAACAGAACCAGTCACAGTCTTCACAGTCTTTCTTTCTTAGCTGAGTAATAAGTGAATTCTTTTTTTTTTTTTTTTTTAATGAATAAAAAAGAAATTGAATATGAACAGGATGGGTTGCATCAAATATGTACTGCGCTGTTCTGTGAATCTGAGTTCAAGCAAAGTTCAGTGGCTTACTGCTTCACTGAAGAAAAACATGGGCATGGAATCAAGCTTGCATTAGCAGAAACCTATCAGAGGTATCTTTTGGCTCCTAAACTAACGTGATTTAATATACGAATCATACTAAAAACATGGGCAGTGGATATGAGTTCTACATCTTGCTGAGTGCATTCAACTCCTCCACAGTAATTTAAGACATGTGAAGATAATTCTATGAAAGATTTTTGGGCCAGAATGTGCTCAGGAATGAAGACAAAAAACCTTTTCTGCATAGCATAAACAGTAGCTTCAGGTTGATATAACTAAAATATGCACTACATGCTAATCTCTGTTGAGTATGTCTATACATTAATTACATTTCAGAAAATGTTTTGAGAAAACTCAATATTTTTCAGGCTAGTATATTTGAATATTGTTTTGAGGTGGTTTTCAAAAGTACTCTTAACAAGGGAAAAATACCTTTTTTTTTTTTTTAATAAGTTTTTCCTCACTTTGGAGAATTACCCTTCAACATCTCAAGGTTCTAACAGTACAAAGAGCTATTCTGAGCCTCAGGACGATCTGAGAACCACCTATAAATCTGTGACTGAGACGTTGTTGCAGATAAGCTGACATATATTTGATACTTACAATCATAATTACTCTCTCCCCTTGTGTCCCATAGAATAAAATAAAATAAAATACACATATTCAGCAGATTTTAAAGTACCACAAAGCTTCACTACTTTATACTTCTGTAACATTTAAAAGAGGCTCCTCTTCATTCCATCACAAGTTACAGCTGATGAATTTAAATTCCTTGCTGTAGCTTTAGGGAGGGAAAATCACAAGCCTGTATTAAAGGAGTAGAATTGCCCTTCACCAAAGCAAGAACTCATCATCTATGCTAATTAATGAACATTTATCTCATTCAGGGCTGCCAGAAGGGTTTTTTAGAGGACAAAAACAACAAAACCAAACAAACAGAACCCCCAAAACCCAATTTATTCTGGTCTCTTTATCCTCTCTTCTGGCTGCCAATTCCTCTTCTCAGCAGTGCCTGATTCACTCTTTTTTATTGTTTTGTGAATATATATTGATGATGGCTCCAAGTGAAGCCTTTGAGATGAAGGTGAGCCACAATTTCTCTCTCTCTTCAGTGTATCAAAAAGGCTGCTAGCAAGATGAAGTCAAGTAGATATAATATTAGGAGGAAACACAATGGAATCCGTGGTGAAAATTGTCAGTAAGTCACAAAGAATGGTAGTTGACTGAGGGAAGAAAAAGATCAGGAGCTCAAGGAGACTGAAAGAAAAAGATATTTTGATCTGATACAGTAAAACAAGTAGGAGGATTCTGTTAAACTTTCATCACGAGTCCTGGAAAAACTTCCAATGACAGATATATTCCAGATAATACAATAAAGGTTCAAATTTCCCCATAATGTAGACATAGTTCTATAACCATGAAAAATGATTCAATTAATTTTTCCTAAAGTATTCATCTGTCAGTAGTAGGCATGCTTGTGCCATATGAACATATGCATGTATTTAACACTTAAGGCCTATTGTTACTCTTTTAGTAATATTTTCTTTAAAGGCGACACCTTGCAGTGCTTTATATGGGTAAAGATCTAGAGTCCCATTTGTGTAAGGTCAGACTGGATCCTGTTCAAATAATAGAATCAGTTAGATTTGGAAAAGAAATTTGATAAGAAAAAAGTGAGAGAAAAACATAAGGTTGACTTTTTTTAACTGCAAATTTATTTCATGTTTTGGTTTCAAAATCTTGATTTTGTTTCAGAGTTAGTCTAATCCTCAGAAAGATTACAAAAAAAAAGGACTGTAAAAAAATTTGTTGCTTATCTTTTTTTAGTTTTGAAAAATAAAATGAAGAACAAAATGTGCTATGAGCAGAGGAATAAATTAAATCTTATTTTCTAGGCATCTGTGTCTCTCAACATAACTTCATGAGTCGACTTGATATTTTTACTTGCCTTTAACTGTTCTACAGTAATTTCTCTGATTCTTTCCATCACAGCTCCACTAACCCTGCCTGCAAATCCCAAAGTTAGCTTTTGTATCATCAGATCCTCATCTGGGAAAGAGGTTGGATATATTGTTGTTGCTTTTGGTAACCCAAAATTCCAAGCAGAACTTGATAACTTAGACTACATTTTTCTCAAATAATAGAGCTCATCTTCTGTACCCATCTTAATATTTTTCTATGAAAAAGAACAGAATATCCATGACACTGGAACCCTTAATGTACTTTTTGTTGAGGACTGAGTAAAAGTTTTAAAACTTTTTAAGGTGGGAGTGATACATGGGAAAACATGCTCTGGAACTACCAAAATAATCACCTTCAAGTTATTTCTACCCCGCAAATTGAATATTGTGCTACAGTATATGAACTCTATAATTTTAATGAAAAACCTTTTTCTCCAAAATTATTGTATTCCTGACAGAAGAAAACACATGATCTTCAAAACTACATTTGGAACAAAACTCTTGCAAAAGCTGATAGATGTTTGACCATGTTTTTTTGTGAAAACTTTGCATATAAGAAAAAATTATATAAAATATAAATAGTCATTGAGGCATTCAGGGCAGAAAAAGGAAAATAACATTTGCAAAAGACCTTCATGGGTCTTCCTATTATTGAAATTCTCTGTTCCTCAAAGGAGAGAATCACTGAGAGTATACAAAATAAAAGTAATTGTGAGGACCTTCCATTTAAACTGGCTTACTCTCCTTTTTCTCTTCAGGATGGGTCAGTATATTTAGGGCTGAGAACTTGGTTCCACCGTTTGGGGACAAGGTACTCACTTTGTGGTGAGGCCATCTGGCCATCCATCATTATGTCAGCCTTCAACTTTACTCAGCTGGTGACTATTTCCTAGCCTTGTTCAGGACAGTGAGTTGACCTGTTCTAATAAGGTTTCAAGGGAATCCATCAGCTGTTTTCTCTCTTATATTATTAATGAGCTCTGTAAGATATTTCTACTGAAGACCTGAGTCTTCACCTACTAAATAGTCATACATTCACAGGATTTTCCTCATATAAGTGTGACTTTTCCTTATTTTCCTGTGTTTAGGTTTTGTTGGGTGTTTTTTGATTATCCATCCATACTCTTTATTGTGATAGTGGCAACAAAAATATTCTCATAATGGAGGATTCCTCTTATAAAGAGTAAGATTTTATTTTTATTATTTTAATCTACTGAATCAAATAAGTAAGCTATCTCTTTTTACTAATTTTCTATTTTTACTTGCTTTAAGTTAAAACAAAAAGATTCACAGATTTGATAAATTTGTTATAGAATTGTCTGGGGAAATACTATAAAAATTTCTTTTCTTTTAAAAATTATTTTTCAAAATTATTTCTGCTGTCACACTTCTATATCTTTCTATCTACTGTCATTTATTGGTACAAATAAAAAAACCCTGAGATCATATAGCTATAGCTCCAAAAAAGCCTATATTTTCAGAATGAAAGCTCCCTTTTGTTTTAATTAATATAATATTTTTTATCTCATAATTTGCATTCAATCTTTCATCTTTAAAATAACTGAAAAGCAGTATGTTAAGTTCCATCCAAGGTTTCCCCTATAAAAATAAAAATATTAAGATTACAGTTTTTCCTTAGGAGAGAGAATTTCTATTCTTATGGCATAAATTAATCATGCTAACTCCATTGTTGCTGCTGAAATGGAAATTTCTGCCTAACTTAATCCCAAGCAAGGAAAGTAGTATAGGGTGGGAATTTTAGATAAAATCTTATGTCTGAATTTCACTATCATTTTACATAAACCACTAATAATTTTTCATAATTCCACCACCATTTTCCATGCTTCACACTACATGACTAGGATTGAATACTCCAGACTTGGAAAAAATGCAATTTCACCATTTTGTAATTCTAACCTGTTTTCCAACTACACTGTGCATCAGCTGCTAATGAAAATGGATACTGAAACTTAGCATATATATCATGCTTTGCCAGTTATTTTCCAAACACTTCCACATAGTTTTTCTGGAAGTAAATTTTACATATGAAGAAGCGATTAAATTTATTTTGCAGCAGTTAAAGTCTGGGAAGATCAGAAGAAAAATTGTTCTGTCACTGAAAGTGGAGGAAAGCATAGTGCAATCATCATTCATTATGCAATCATGCTGCACATGCATTGTATCTTGTTTTTCAGTGCACATCAAACTGCTTTTTAATGCAAAAACATGAGACTTTGTTAATATGACATTTTTTAAAATTGATAATTATGCTATTCAAAGACTGAGGAAATGACAGTTATCCTTGTTTCTTGTTTTAACTATCATACCTTATTTTGTGTCTCTCTATCTTGGCAGACCAAACAGATAATTTGTTCTTTTCCTCAATTCTCAATCTCCGTATTGTCTCTCATTCGGGACTAGGTTGCTTGCCTCTGTGTGTTTCTTTTAGGATTCCAGCATCACTATGGAATAAAGATTGTCATCCTGTATTTTTGGACCTAGGCTCTTGATGTTCCTTTTTTAGATGAGAGCATACTGTAAAAAAGACATCCAGCCATGTCATTATTATGGAGTCCCTCCAGAGAACTTCTCTAGCAGTTGGTGAGCTACTCCAGCGGTCTGTCAGCAAGACTGATGCTAATAATTTGGGCCATCTCATGATAATCACCTTAGCAGCACACTTTGGCAAGCAAATTTCAAGTATCAACATTTGGATTTTTTTAAAATGCTTGTTTTTTACAACAGTTAACTTAATGGAAATTCCAAGTCTATATAGAGAACACCATGATACATATATTTGAGTGATAACAGTTACTTCAGAATCAGTGAGGAAACATCTGGTCAATATTAAAGTTGTTAAGTCGCTGACCCAATTTAAAACCTTTAAATGGCAGTGATTTATCTTAGTAAATCTCAGACTTAAGGTCTAATACTCACAAATTTTTGTTCTGATCTGGTATGATTTTTTTTTTAATTGCTGCAGGACATAATGGAAAACATCAAATGTTTTAAAGCCTGTCTCAAAATCATCTCTATTGTCAATAGCATCTTCATTTGTGTAAAAGGAAAAAAAAAAAAAAGTTTTTTTGTGTCTTTCTCTAATAAGTGCTTTGGGCTAATGTGCATGAGACCTTTATTTAGTATTTGTCTAAGCAATTTGGCTGTTCTTATACCTGCACTTAATGTGTAGGAATGAGATTGATTGTTATTAGCTGTGAGTTTATCATTAGCTTTGTCTCTGCCTGTACAAATCACTTAACTTCTTGGTATCTCTACATGCCATTGGCAAAAAAAGTAATGGAATCTAACAAATAGAACAGAAAGTAAATGGACTTCAAGGCAAAGATGTCAGCTATTAGGCCATGAAATTCTTCACTCTCTCTTCCTCCAAAAAATTTTGTGCATTCCCTGAAAACAAATAGTAATATCAGGAGAGGTCAACTCTCAATTCTGGAATATTTAATCCCAAATTAAAGATCATCTTAATAAAGGGAGATTAACCTCGTAAGCAAAGGGGAGATTTGACCCTCCCCCGCATTCTTAAGTGGATTTTCAGTCAGGAAAAGGGCTCATTCCTCCAGCTGATATGTGAATATTTATTTTGCTTGTCCCTGTTTGTCTTGACAAGACTTTAAAAATATAATGTTTCAAAATTCCAGTACAGTTTGTTTCATAAACGCCAAAATGAACTGGTTTTACATTTCTCTAACATAAATATTTGGATTCAGACAAAAGTAATTACAAATTCAATCAAAATTATAGTTATCCTGCCAGAGGTGCATTGCTCAATTCCACTTGTGACTTTCATGTTTTTAGCAACTTTTATAAAAGTTTCTTTAGAAATTTTGATGAAATCTGTAGTCATATGGAAACTGAATTTATTATTGTTGTTAGCCTCATTCATGAAGTTTTCATTTGATTCCTAAACATCTATACATAAAGTTTTCCCTTTGTTAAGTGCCTCAAAAATTCATAATCTGTGGATTGCCTAAGTCTTGTGGAGATGTATTTATCACCAAAGTGTTTATTTTGTACTTTTTTTTTTTAATAATTTTTGTTAGTGCATCTGGATAAGTTTTTTGAAAAACATCTGTGTTTACAGTTTTATTGTTTTTCACTTTTCTCAAACTAGTATGTATCTATATGAATAGGTATGTGTTTATGCATTATGCATAAGCCTTATGGAACAATACATAATGCATAAGAACAAACACATTCAGTCCTATTCACTACTTACAGTAGAAAACTTGTCTTTAAACCATATCATTAAAATTTTGGTGATGTTTCTTTCATAATGGAATCAGACACCACTTTGTAGGAAATTTTTTATAATGACACTTCAGAGAAGCTTTGGGGCAATTCTGCAGCTGTTCTTATGATTATGTATAAAACTTAATTCTGTTTCTGTAAGAGACTGTAATGGAAACCAGAGGATTAATCACTTACTGTTACAAGAACATTTCCTGTAATTCTAAGAATCGAACACATCTTCATTGTCATATATTGTAAATTAGGATTGTGTGAAGATGATGTACTCTATTCCTCAGAGCGTGTCCACCTAGATAAAAAGAGAAAGAAAGCTGATGGTGCTAACCTTTATTTTAATCAAAAAAAGAAGATTGTGAAAGGGAGGTAGTCAATATTCTTCTAACTCACTTTAGCCTCTTTGAATAAGAAATATCTCAAATATTTAAGCTCTAGTGGGATGAACAATGGCATATGAAATAGTAACATTACTATTTTATTTTGCCATTATCCTAATTCTCAATACCATTCAGAAGTTTCATTAGCTGAATATGTGAAAGAAATTATAATAAAATGTGCGACAACTCTACAATTCAGTGATGGAGCCCATAAATATTACAATTCAAATATTCAAAATTAATGACAATGAAATCCACTGTATGAGAGGTTTGAGATTGTAAACTAGGGATGGACATATAAATTGCCCAGCCACTAAAAAAAACAGACAGAAATAATCAAAGTAACCCAGAAAGATGCATTGATACACTGGTCATTTTTCATTATTATGCCTCTATTGCTGTCACTAAGTGGTTTTAGCTCTGTATTTATAGACAGTTGCTTTACCAAAATATGTGTGTGTATAAACATATATATATGTGTGTGTGTGTGTGTATACAAATATATACAAATACCAAATCAGAATTCATACTTCAGAGATTTGTTGTCTACAGTCCAGATCATGCTGTGAACTTGGTATTATAATTCATGGTGAATCAGTATGCATTTAAATATAAAAGGGATTCCTCCACATAAAGATATGAGCCTTCGTGGAATCCCAGCACAAACAGGACTGTGGCCCTGATCATGGGACATCTAAACTGCACCTCTATCTCTCTGCAGTATTTGGTGATTTTGAATCAATCTTATGTGTTTGTATTTATGTTCACATGCAATAATGACATGCACTTGAACTAACTTTTACACAACTGGAAACTGAATTATTTCAATCACTTTCATTTATCAAACCTAATGGTGAAAAAAGTAAATAAGTCTCTACAGAAGCTTGCAATTCAAATGAGGCAGTCTCAGGCCAGAATGACTCAATCTAAAAATGAAAATATATACTGGCTGGAAGTGGTGAAACACATGGAAAGAAAGATCTAATAATACTTTTAGAAATCAGAGAAAAAAATATAAGAAACTTACTTTTTCTTGAAGCTTGTTCATGTTTTTGAACATATTTTTGGTCTTGTTTATTTATTAAACTGTTGCATATGGGTGTTTCGTTTTTCATAAAATAGAATTTTGTAATTTTTCACTTTTGTGAACATTATTAGAATGTATGAATCATTTAAGACAAATAACAAGGCAAAGGATGATAATAAATAAAATAAAATAAAATAAAATAAAATAAAATAAAATAAAATAAAATAAATACAGTAAAATAAATACAGTAAAATAAATAAAATCACTTGCCTTTCAACAGTTTACACTGAACTCAAAAGGCTGAAGATCTGAGTTCGGCTGACTACCATAAAAGGGATTGTGAGACTTTTCCTTTCTCTGCAGTATGCAAAATAGAATGCTCAGCTTTTAAGATTAATTTCTCTCATTTTACCATCATGATAAACAAGCTTCAGAATCCAGTGTACAGAGATAACAGTAGATGGAGATGTCCTCAATTTTTCTCTGTACGTGGATCATTTTGTCATGTTGTTTCTTTCTTAGCTGTCACGTTTCCGGATTTCATGCAGGCACCTGAGTTACTTAGGGAACTTTAATTTCCAAGACCTGGGCAGCCTGCCTACCTTTTCACACACTTAATAAAATCAGACAGAAAGAATTACAGACTTAAAAGGGGAAAGGGAAAAAAATGCTTATGGAAAAAGCAACATAAGGTTGTTATTCTAAAGAGGGTTCACATTTGTTTTCAATATGAAACTTGAATATAGCATGGAAAATTGAAATAGGTTTTTTTCAAGGCTGGACTAACACAAAAAAATTAATAGAAAGTGTGATTCAGGATCGTAGGGAATACCTGGCATACAGCAATATAAGTATGAATTATTTCTAAGCAATTAGTTCTCTCTACTTGGTTGAATTTTCTTGGGGTAAAATAATTTTATTTGCATTGTTTACCCATTTACCTTTTTTTTTAAATTAATTTTTGGTGGAGGTTTTTTCATACCCATATAAGAGGTAATGCCACTTCTATCTTATAAACTGCCTGCTTTTAAATGTTATCCAGAGTGCTGAAGTAATCAGTAATGACAGGAGATAAATGGAATATATGACATTTTTTAGCTTAGGAAAAAAAGAACTCTGTGAAATGAGTCTTACAAAGAATTTGGAATTCTATTTATTTCCACTTAGATTTGCATAAGTAAGGTACAATAGCACACAGATTTAACTATGTGACAGATGCATCTCTCTCAGAAATCATATGACAACTTCCAGTAGTTCAATACTTAACATGTAATGACTTTTGTTTGCTCCTGTACTTCTTGCCCTCTCTGGTGTACTGCACTCTAAAATGGTTAATCCCTTGCTCATTAGCTTTATGCTGCATCCCTGAAATTTGCAAACTCTCCCCTGTCCTCAAGATTTGGCATTTGGTTCTCAAGGCTTCCTTGGAAATGCTTCAATTATTTTAAATACCTGTGATGAATAATATAAGCAATGTCTAAGTCTCAAATAACATAGCTGACAAATTAGACCTAAAGATTAGGATTCTTTTAGCAATCCTTATGGCTACATATTAACCCAGATGTCCTGTGTCCAAGGAAGCCAACGTCAAATATCATGGAACAAGTATAAATAGACTGTTTAGCTGTATGTCACTAATTAAAAATTAGCTTTTAACATCTTGTTTTCTTTTATTCTCAAAAAGACTGGTTCTACTTAAATTCAGCTTTACACTATTTTCTAGTGACGTAAATTTGGGCTTTTTTGGATGTTCTTGATAATGAGTATGAAGACGATACATTCAGTTCTACTGAAAGGACAAGTTTTCAGCACAGAGGGAATTGCTCCTGTTGCTACTGGAAACTCCTACATTCTTCAGTTCTTGCTCAAAAGACTTTCATATCTGGATCTGTGGTAGAGAAAACAAGTTTTATGATACACACACACACACATATATATACATACATACATATAAACTTGTCATGAAATATCAAAGATGATGCATCAAAACACTGTCACTGAACTGATGCACTGAAGATAACCATTTCAGGACTCTTACCAATTTTCAAAACTGTTTGGAAAGGTGAGAACTGTTTAGAAAGGCTGGTCGTCTACATTCTTGGCAATTTGGCTACTTGTGGAACCTAAAACAAATAGAATAAAGGTCTAAGGGGAGAGAAAATAAACAGTATTTCTGATTAAATATTCTTTCAGCAAGATCATTACAGTTTGTTCATTTTTTTCAACCTTTACTTTTTTTATCTGCCAGAGAAACCCACAACCAAATATTCTGGAATGGGTTGCCTGGGGAAGTGGTGGAGTCACCATCCCTGGATATGTTTAAGAAAAGATTGGGTGTGGCACTCAGTGCCATGGTTTAGTTGAGGTGTTGGCACATGGGTTGGACTCAATAATCTTTAAGGCCTCTTCCAACCTAATCATTCTGTGCGTGAAACAAACCTTTTTTCTTCCAATGTTAACTTTCTTCCCCTTAAGCCATTACACTGTAATGACACCATGAAACTAGAAATAAAAACCTATAGTAAGTCTCCATTAATAGGTAAAATTTAAAGTACTCAATACCATCAATAATAATGAAGGAAAGTCCTGATCATTTTATAGCAGAGCTTGTCAGAGCAAGATTTCTCCCTATCACAAAGTAGAACTGGAAATATGCTTGCAAAAGCATTAGCAAAATCATGACAGGGTAGTAAGCCACTTTTACTAAATATTTAATTTTATCTTCTTTTTCTGTTTCTAAGTTAGCTAATAGTGTACCACAAATATATTTCCTACTTAAACATTTTGATATTCAATTGTGAGTGTAACAGTTTGTCTGCAAGCAATTTATGTAATCACTTTTGAATAGATGCTTTCTGTTTTAATATTTTAATTTTTATATCTACTGTCTGGATTTCTCTGCCCATTTCTCATCTGAATAAGTGTATATATATATATAATTTCTTTATCTGTAGTCCTTTATTATTGTTTCTGTCACGATGATAGTCACCATTTCTCACACTCTTTAATCAGGCACAGGTGGTTTTAATATATCAGCCATATAATATGCTGGAGAATGAACCCAAACTCACAGATTTAATAATATTTGCACCTCTCTCTCTATATATAAAAGAATCAGAGAGAGTGTATTCTTGTTGAAAGACTGTTTAAAAAACACTTGCTTAGAGACAGATATAAATTACTAGCAGAAATGTGTTTCTTATCATGTATAAATGATCAGGATGGCATCACCTCAGGGATCTTTGCAGCACGGTCTATTATGCTGCATAGGAATAATTACCCAAGTAGACACTGTCCTTTGATAGGAACATGGAGAACTTATTTAGATCTTGTAATGAACAACAATATTGAATTTATTGCTACCTACCTGCTTAATCTTAGCAGTTTATATATAACTTGTTTGACTTTTCATGGGGATGAATTCCTTGTTAGTCAAGTTGGCAGAATTTATCTTTAAATCAGTGGTGGTCAGTGAGAAATAAAACCTAATCCTGTGACATTAGAGTAAATGGTAACTTTTTCTTCATATGTAGTAGACACAGGACCATATTAATCATATTTTTTCTGAACATAATTTTGTTCACATTCACAAGAGCCTAAAATTATGAGATATATTCTTTTCTTTAAGTAGACAATTCTTAAAACTAAACAAAAATAGCATCTATGTCACTTCTTTCAGACTGAATTTAAACTTCAATCAGGTATTTCCGTCTATTTTTCTCTTTCAAGAGGAAAGTTGGCTGGAAACTCTGGGATGATGACAGGTCCTCGAGAGTAAGCCAGTGAGTTATGGTGACAAGAACCATTCTTAAGTGCTTTAATAGCAGATCATCCAAGGGGAAAAGAGATTAGGGCAGTAATCTCTAGTGGGTACTTCAGTTCACATCTGGCCCACTCGATGCTAGTAAAGGTAGGTTATCATTGTTTAGAAGGCTGGCCAAACCCTCTCCAAACAATTGAAGTACTATCAGTGGGACATGATGGTATGAGTCAGAAATCATCTGGTCTTTGAAGAGGTGAAACCTTTACCTCTTTTTGTGCTGTTTTTCTTTTATCTTTTCTTTTTTAAGCAATTTTAAATGTTGATGACATACTTATTCCACCAATATTTCACTGAGAGAAGGCAACTGAAAAAAGTTGCAAAAAGATTGCAAAGCTGCAGTTTGAAACATAATATCAAACATTTAGACAAATAAATAAAATATCCAGCTTTATGTCAGCAGCTTAAAGCCTTGGCAGAAGAATTATGAAATGGTCAGCTGAGGAGATATGTGGGTATCAGTTACATAAATCTTTGTATTGCTTCCCTCCCTACATCTGGCTAAATCTGAATCCTCCTCCTTTATTTCACTTCTACACTGCTATTTAGCATGGGTTTTGGTCCCTGTGCACAAGACCCAAAGGACCATTGCAAAAAGAGTGGGATTAAGCAAACAAGAGGAAAGATTTCCCTTATTGCTTAGTATGATTGTTGCAAACTGCTTTCTAAACACATTGAAGAAAGATGCAGTAGTAACATCTTGTTCTGATGGCATATTGACTATGCAAATTAGTCTTTCCCAAAAATTATAGCTCTTTCTAAACATCAGTCCCACCTTACAGAGCTGACATTAATATGGTACATTTACATTACAACATTGACAACTCAATAAATTTTTCTCTAAACTATGTACAAAACAGAACTCACTCATGACTGCAGCACAGATATGATGTCTACAATCACAGTATCAAAAGTACAAGTGCTACTGACGGATCTGCCAAAAAACTGATTGGTAGCTGTCTGCAGTGACAGCCTGTCACATTTGGTCTAGGAAGTCACTACACACAGACTAGTCACAACAGAGTTAAATATAATTGGTTGGTTACACATATAAATTATAAAATAAAATGTCAAAATAAATCAAAGCCCACTAAAGTTATCTGTTTCACAGAGGTTTTGTTCAGTATCTGTGACACAGATCTCCACAAACAATTAAAGGAAACTCCAGGAAGCCTGTGCACTGATCCCTTAAGCAAAGCAGTTTCAGGAAACAGAATCTAGCACAAAAATTTTCCTATGAGTCTCTGCCCCTTCAAAGGATGCCACTACTGAATGCATGCCAAGCTGTTAGCAAAACTGGTGTGTAGGAGACAGTGTTCACTGGAAACCTGTGAATTATTGTCAGCCAATCTGGTTCTGGTTGGGCTTTTGTCCAGAAAGGATATCTGGTTTGATTCCCTCTATCAGAACACAACAGACTAGAAAATAGTTTATGGAAAGTCAGCGTAATTTGGTGTTTCAACTTAAATTTCACAGCTGTGCAGCTCTTATGCATAAATAGAAAATCCTACGAGTGTGTAAAAACTTTGCACCAGAGTTTTTCAGGAGTATGATACCTTATCATTTCTTCAGTGGATGATAATGTAGAATGTCTCTGGAAGACAGGTGGTCTAGGTGGTGCTTTCCAAATGCATCTTCCATTTTCAGTTAAAAACTTAAAATCAAAACACTTTGGTAAACCCTGTTCTCTTATTTAAATCAAAAAATTTGAGCTGGCATTGCTTTTTTTTTTTAGCTGAAAACTTGTGAATTTTGGATATTTGGTTCCAGAGATTCTCTTTGAACTGGATAAAAAATATCCTGTAGAAAATGTTAACATTTCTCAAAACAGGGAAAGAAAGCTGATTATAACCTCAGTTTCATACACTGAAATAGTTCTGGCAGTTAATTTCAAGCACACCAGAAGGACTTCAGCTCTCTAATGAAACTGTATTTATTCTTGTGGATTCTGCAAACTGGACTGGGTTGCTAAGAAGGCTGTTGAGATGCGGAGTAATCTTCAAGAACAGATTCATAAATATGTGGTAAAATAAAATTGTTACATATTAAAGCTATATATGTTAGGAATTTAGAGAGTATACACTGTTAGGAAGAAAAGAAAAAAGCGACTGTGGGGTTTTTTCCCATAATTTTTACTTTTGGGACAAAGATACTCCCAATATACTGCAATCAACATCTTCACCTCTGACCTTCAAGATGTAATTCCTCACACAGCAGCTCTAAACCCATAGCTCTGACAGCTGAGATGCTGAGCTGTAAGTAACTGCATTTAGAGCTGTTCTCAGTCTCCCTACATGCTACTGGGCTATAGACTAGCAGAGCATTTTTCCATACATTCCCCTCTTCCTGCCAGTCCTATTTACTCTGCTAGGTTCTAGCTGTGCCTGCATTTATTTAAATGCCACTCCTAAGATACCAGTACACACAGCAAGATTTTCCCTGGAAAAGGCTTAAAGTGCTGCAGAATTTCTGCCTTTAAGCAGGCCTGAATCCAGTGTCCCTGTGACTGGCAGTGCCCTACAGGGGTCAAAAGTATGCTGATCTGCCCTAGAAAGCAAAGCCTTAAAGTATACTTGAAAGGAAATCAGAATATTTTTTGACAGATAAATCTGTGGAAGCGCAATCCTACTATTCCAGACAGCCATGGCATGGGGATTCTGTCCAAGCCACCATTTCATAGATGTGCATTAGAGGTTTGTGCTCTGTATCCTATATAGTAGCTATGAAATGCAGCTCCTGCTTTGAACTTAGAAAAAAGCAACATTGATAATGTGTAGCACATGTTAACTCCTACATGCAATATATTTTTTCTGGACTGGAGTGTGGGACTATTATCTTTCTTTCCATCATGTCTTTTTTTCTGAACTCCCTTGTTGCAGCATTCATAGGAAATCAGTTAATGAGTGGGTATTTAAAAAACAAAATCACTGTATAGGGCAATATTCAAGTTAAATAAGAGCTATATTTCTGTAAATACACTCCATTCTGAAACAAACAAATGTGTTAAATTATGAACTCCAAAATGACAACTAGTTTTGAAAGCATATTTTCTATATTACTCCCTTGTGAAGTCATTTTTTTAATGAATAAATGACCAAAAATTTTTTTTTTCGGTATGTGTATAAACATATATATTTTTCTATATCCGTCTGTCAAAGTTCTCATCCATATTCCTTGCTGTGTTATAGATGCTATAAAACCCTACCTCTCCCTCAAGAGAGAATTGAATGCATGGCCAGTGTGTAGAGAATGGCAGTGTTTTATGGAACCTAGCAAATGTAGGTGTAATAACAATAGATGTGCCAACATCCATATGTCAACATCCAAAGTTTTTTGGCCAGACCTTAAATCTTTTATAAGCTGGAGATAGTTATTACTCTTTAAAAAGACCCCTCAGAGAACTATGAACAGATGTATTGTATTTATACATGTTTATTTACTTTGAGTTATAGATATGAATGACATTATTTATAAATTAATCAATAGTAAAAAGAAGATATTGTCTCTTTTTGTCTCCTTTTCACTATTTAATATATCTCTCACATGAACTTATCTTCCTATGAAATAAAATATAGCTGTTTGAATTCACATCATAGCTCCCTCTTCCACAATAGTCTGAAGAGCCAGTGACATCATTGTCTTATTACAGGCACTGATTCTGGGCTGATGTTTGTCATCCTGTCAACAGCAAGCATGACCATTTGTGTGGCAAGGACATGTTAGGACACCTGGGACACATTTGTATATACAGCCTTTTCCTGCCGGCTGCCTGCCGGCTGCCTAAACTCAATCCCACCCACATTCCACTCTAAAGACCACAGTGGGAGAAGGACAAGAGAAAGAGGAAGGACATGGGGGTGGGGATAAGAGGGAAAAGTGTTGATAAGAGATTACAATGCCTGGAATGTATAAATTGGAAGTGGGGGACAGGAGAAACTGAGTTAAGATATGATGTATGGGACAATCCTGATTTTATCTATGATTGCCTATGTTATTTTATATTTTAATAATAAACATATTATAAAATATTATCTATTCTTTATCTCTATGTTGCTGTGTCTTTGTATATATGTACATGTATGTGTATACATTTACAAAGAGCAGAAAAGAGATTCAATTGTTTCCAGAATGGGCCATGTATAAATCTACTTGTAACAATATGAATTGTATTCCAATGCTTAGAGAAAGTAACGATAGTAACCATATTCCTTGTTTTCAATAATTTGTACATATGCACTGTACATTTCTCTCCCTGTTCATATGGAAAAGCAGCAACATAATATTTGACTTTCAGTTTTCAAGAACAGTCAGAAGGTTAGACTGACCTCTTTTTAAAAACATCTCCAGCAGTGCTCCCTTAAAACCACACAGTGCAATATCAGCTTCAGGATTCATGATACAACTTCAACATTACTAATTCTTTCAGATTCATAGTCTTCCTATAAATTGCTCAATTCAAACTGACCCTTTACCTGTGAATTCTAGTACAACTAATGTTGTGTGTTAGAGGGGGACATCACAAATCTGTCTATGTTAATATACCTTGATAGAAAAGAGGACAGAAAAGGAAACACAGGCCTTGCATAAGAGTGTGACAAGATTTGGAATAAATAATGTATAGATGTTTAGAAATGGAGAACATTAGATCAAAATGTGCAGTAATTCTTTTGATTTATGAATAAGCCACTCGTGTAAAATCTACACCCTGTGGAGTAACTGTAGGTGCCTAATTGACTGCCTGTAAGCAAACCATTACAACTCTATTACTATATCAACTGCAGGGAGGACACAGTGGGGAAAAAAAACAACTTCTAAGTAAAGTTTTCACACCCCTGCCTCGTGGTGAACTCCTCAGCTGGTTTTCACATTCTAAATCCAGAGCATGTTTCTTCGCACAAACTCCCTATCTATTTAGTGCTGGTATACACAGCATGCTCTGCTGTGGCAATTGTGCAGGTTAATTAGAAACAAATTTAGCCCTGGTGTAAGCATGAACACAGTTTCCAACAAAACCACTGCCTTTATTAAGATAAATGTCACAATAAGAAAGAAGTTCTGTGACACTTATACAAGTGTGAATGTGTCATCATACAACATCAACAGATCTCCAGCTCCTCTTGTTTATCTTTTTCTCTCTCTAGACGTAACCTAAGAGTGATGATTGCAACAGAAGGTGGGAAAATCTGAAAAGAAATAGGGTGGGAGTGATTAACTATAGTATTTAAAGGTATGTTTTTCTTGGCAATGAATATTTGTAGACAAAAAAATCATATGCATACTAATTTTTTTAGAAATATGAGAAGAAGACCAAAGCTAAAATCCTCCTAGAAGTTACTCTATTCCTTGACATCAAAATTTAGACTGCTTCCTTCAGTTTTCCTCAGCTTAGCTACAGTTTCCTATCTTCAAGCTACAAAAATGGATATATGTAGTACAAGAGAAAACAAAATACGGTTCACTCCCATCTTCTAATCTTATGGATATCTAAAAATATCTCCAAACAAGACTCAGTATAAAGTTTACTGATAGTCTGTACCGGAAGTGCAGTGCCCTGTATGGAATGTCCTCCTGTGACCCTATCAGTATTCCAGAGACCCAGAAGACCACAGTGGAGATGCTCAGGAAATGCAGTGACAGCTGGCTTTTCTGAAAACTTTTTGAAACTGCCTTCTAATGTTTGTATAAGATATACCAAGAAAAAGGCCAGTTGGAACTCAAAAATGCAAAAATAAAAGTGGGTATGAATATGTATTTATTCACATGCATATAAATTTCTCTCTATATATAATTTTTTAACACTTAAAAACTGTCTTTAAAACTCCAGGAAAATTTGGGACTGGCTTCACTTCAAGATTGAGGTAGTTTAAACAAGTTCTTGTTTCATCAAAAGGAATCTATCTACACCACCACCACCTCTGTAGATTAATAGATTATTGTCCACAAGCTACAAATTTGACCAGACATCAACAAGGGCATGAAAAAGAACCTCACCAAAAATGGGGTCAGAGATGACTTTTGTCTTCATTAGGTGTCTAAGCCAAGGAACAAGGAGAACAGATCTGACAGTGATCAGACTTTTACTTTCTTTATCTGCATAGTTAGTATTAAACACCATTGTGATGGAGGCAGAGAATCACAACTACTGCTTCTGGGAACTCATTTAACAGGGATAACTCAAGAGCTTGAAATCACATACTCTTGTCCTTTTTGTCTCAACATCTGCTAAATTCTGTCTGCTGGACATCATGCCTATGAACTCAGGGTCCTGAGAGAATTGAGGTCTTTGAGATCAGCACACTTGAGGGTTCTGCGTGACAAACCACTCGAGGCACTCTAATTGCACTTAATGAAATTGCATGTCTTCAGCTTAGTCTTAAGTGTGTAAAGAAAAAATGAAATAAGAAAAGGGAAAAAGAAAAAAGAAAAAATGTCTGAGATTTTACGTACTGAATGAGGGAGTTCAGTTTTTTGAGAAAGAGTTAGACTGAGGCAGTGGAGAGAATAAGTTGTTTCCTTTACTGGTAAGAAGGTTTACAAGTTCATCTGCATCTTTTTTACTACCTCAGTACCCATCTAGTTAGCCTTTAAGAATTTACTCTTTGTACTTACAGAATTTTAAAAAGTTGTAAAGATATAGATAAATTTGTTGTAAAGATAATAAGAACCCCTGTAAGACCATTCTTAAGCCATGGGGAAAAGACAGACATATTTCTATCCTTTTTCCATACACTCTTTTGTCTCTTAAGGGCTTTCTTCTTGTCAATATATTTTTGTGAAATAGAAAAATAGAATTATACCATTTATTCATTTAGACAGTGAAAAACAGTAAGAGAACGATGTGCAACATCTGAAAGAAAAACAAGGAACAAAAAAAAAAAGAGCCACAAACAAAACAAAGAAGCAAACAAGAAACTCTGTGAGTTGTACAGAAACATCTCAAAATTGAATAGGCAGAACTTTTGGAGCTCAGTTAAAAAATTATGAGGTTTTTTTTCCTTAAATTTTCTTTATATCTTGCTGTTTGGGGTAAAATATAAGCTTATTTAAAACTTTTATCATGTTCCAGAAGACAGAGAAAAAATCATTTTCCTAAATCAAACTTTTTATTGCTTTTCTGCTGCACCACATTGTTACACAATGCTAGTTAGATGCTCAAAAAGAAAAATTACCAAAACTCTTGAGCACAGACAAAGTCCAAAAAATGCAAGGTAAAATCCAAAACAGAGTTAAGCACCTACCATACACTCAAACAGTAATTTAAACATATCCAGAAGGGAGATCTAAAGAACTCTATGTACTCACATGTCTCAGGCATCTAAGTTTTCTAACTTGGTGTGTCTCTGCACACATCAGAATATGTCACCTTCTCAGCTGAATGAAGTGCACATCCTCCACACCCAGTCCATCTGGGATGCAAAGCAGTGTGTCGTGCTCCATGTGCCAAGTGGCCCGGCTCCGTAGGTGTGCTCCGAGCTCACACAGTGACAGCAGCAGTGGCAGCACATTGCACAGCTCCCACAGCCACTTCCATTCAAAAATAGGTCAGGAGAAGGCGGAAAGTACTTGCATAGCAAGACTGTTATGCAAAACCCCTTTAGTAATATCACCTCCTCCTCCTCCTCCTCCATCCTCTCGCTGGCTATCTTCTGAAAGAGAAGCGGGAGAGAGCTGTCTGCTGACACCTCATATGACTTACATCTAGAACCATAGGCAAAGCATTTGCAAATCCTAGCTCCACAGAACCCAATTTGGAATATGGATAAGGACCTAAATTCAGAAGAAACAAAATTTTAGATGCTTCCCTCCCTGGCATTTTCAAATGTGTAGATTAGACATCCACCATCAAATGTATTGGCTGATGTGAACTATGCTTGAGGATTGTACTGGAAAGTTTAGACATCCCATGTTGCACTGTGAATTTCACCCGTCAGGCTTGCATCTAGCTTTGAGGCACTGAGTCAGTGAGAAGTCCTCCAGTACTTTTTTTAAGATTTGAACCCTTGACCATGTTTTTGAAAATTCAAGATAAAGTGTATTGAACCTTGCCTTGCGGATCAGGGTGTGCATGGTGCCTTTCTCTTTGGAGTATCTAAAAAAAGGAAGTTAGATCCTGGTGTTGTCAAAATGGTCACCAAATTATTTGAAAAATGTAGAAACTGCTTTTCCACAGTCTTTTCAAAGTAGTCCTGGTCAGAAATTAAAGGATATTAGTAGTCCTAGAAAGAGTTCTATTTAGCAGTTGAAATGGAAAATAAAGGAACAGGCCTCTTCTATTCTAAACTCTGTGAGAGCTCTCTTCCTCTATCAGCTTCATTGGGAACTGAAAAGTAAAAGCACAAATAGTCTGTTTTGTTCATTTCATTCACAAAGATGACCATGAGAGTGACATCTTTGAGAAAGATTTCTGCTTTGCAAAGCTACCAGCAAATGAAGTAGAGGATGAACTGATAAGACAAACAGTCATTTATTTGTACAGATAGTTCAGAAAGTAACAGTTACATATAACAAAAAAAAAAAAAAGAAATCTTTAATTAATACCATTTTTCTGGTATCTAGCTCAATGTCTGCTTTCTCTCACTTCGTTATAACCCTACAGCTTGCACTCCTATTTCAATTTTTATTGTAGTCTAGCTTGGACTACTGTCACAGTCATGCAGATGCCCAAATCTGTGCTTTTGGGATACTGTTTATGAAATGCAGGCAGTAGCAGTATTGTGACATTTTTTGAATGGGTTGGATTAATTTAATTTCATCCATGAAATTTAGATTCTCCCAACTTTCTCTCTCAGATTTTCCCTGTGAATTATCTATCAATAATTTAAAGTGAAATATCTATCAATAATTCAAGCCAGAATTACTGGGCTATGAAGATATGAGTTCTAGACTACACCACTCATCCTACACAGTTCCCTTTCAGAACACTATGTGCTGTTTTCCCATTTTAAGTCCTCTACAGAAATAAGATATTCACATTTTAATAATCAAAACTCTTGATAAAGAGTGGAACCCATATCTCAGTTTGGTTGCCCTGTGTTAAGAGTGCTGGAACAGTGAGGTGGGACAACTACTCATATCATCACTGAGTGAGTTAGAAGTTAAATCCAACACAAAATTTCATTTTATGACCCTCAGACTAAACTTTCCTGCTCCTAAGGCTGCCCTGTATTTCCAAGATCTATTCTTGTAATATTCAAGGGACAGACTTAACAACTTTATTTTTAATGAACAACCAATGCAGTCAGTAGGTATTAACTTGTACAAAAATATTTGTCAAGGTCCATGGTAAAGATACAAAAACCTTACTGATTTGTGTGTTGAGTTTGTTGGATTCTTTTACTGCTAGATCAGTTTCTGCCCCTAAAGACACTGAGCAGGGCTCCCTGGAGTCTTTTTTAAAGCATTTTGTGTGGATAAACGCATATCATGTAAGTGCTGATAAACGAGGCCAGGTATATTTTAATAACCTTCAACGTGGAAGGTATTTGTGTACCACTCTTACACACAGTCAGTCACTGTGTATCTTGGCAAAGCAAGATCCATTTCTGAGGAAAGAGAACTATTTCCATCCTTAATAAGTCATTCCAAGTTTCCTGTGATGTTATAAATAATCGGGCAAGCAGCCGGTTTTATTCTCCCTAATTTGATATGGCAGACTTGGAGAGCAGAAAAGTTCAGCCTCAACATAAGCTCTAGAGTTGGACTTTGACCAAAATTTCCCCCTTCCCTCCCATAATGAGATAAAGTTTATCATAAAACATGCTTACCAAGGCAGCTAAGACAGGGCTCAGGCTTCACATCTATTTCCTAGGAGCCCCTAGTCAGTCCTGCGTGCTGTACGCATGAGGTCACAGCCTGCTGGGCTTGCTTGGGGGAGCTGGCAGCTAGGCTGACAGTCTTAGCTAATACACTTGTCATTTGGGAAAATAAAAAAGTGCTTGCAAAACACAGCTTAAATTAGATTGTGAGTAACTGGAAAAGGAAATATAAAGTCACACTGTTTTATATGCGTGTCGGGAAGGCAGTCAGTTGAAGCATTGAGTACCTGGGTTACTGGCAAAGGTCAAGCACCCTCATGACAGATATCTTACTGGCAAAGGTCAAGCACCCTCATGACAGATATCTTTTAAAAATTTTGAGGAGATACAACAATCGTCACATAACTTTCTGCAAAATACAGAGACATAAGAACATAGCAGAGTTTAATTTTATATGTAAAAGAAGGTCAGTTGAAAGGTTGTATTCCTTCATAATTATTAAAGTGACAAGAAGAATTTATGATTATATTAGAACCTGAGAATTTTTTTTTAATCTGCCTCTACAAATGATGTTTGCCAATATTTTGGGAAAGTCATTCAAGCTGTTTCTAATTGTCATTCAATTGCAAAAGAAGTTAAAGAAATAACACTATCTGCATCTCAGAAATTCAGGAAGATTAATTAGATAATGTTATTGAAATTGCTTATAGGCACTTAGTAATAATAATGCACACCAAAGCACTTCATTGATGTTCATTACTTACAAATATGAGGAAAAAAGAATTTTTTTGTTGTTTTTTAAAGCTTCAGGTCATATTTACAGATCAACTTCATTTCCAAAATGCAATCCAGATGTATTGTCATGGATTTTAAAATAAAATTATAGCTTTAAGGTAAAACATGCTAATAGGAAAATTAACTTGTTCTGATGAGTCATAACATAAAGTAATTTCCCTTTCAAAACAAAACTAAAACCTTACTTTGGTCCATTAACCCAGATGGTATTCCTTCAGAAGAGGTAACTTGGATTCAGCTTGGATCTTTTACTCTTCCTAAGACACTCTGCATCCTTAAAAAAACTATTATGTGGGAATTAAGGATATTTTTCTAAAGAGATCTACTCCCAATTGTAAATCCTGTATTAGAAAATAAAGAAACTGTTAGCTGAGTTACACTTCCCTATCGTTTATATGACCTCTTAACAAAGAGTACCAAGTACCTAATCTGTTCTCTCTTTCCTCTCTCTGACTTTCTATTCCGCAAAATCAAAAGGAGTCTCTCAAAGACTGAAAAGGTCTTCCTGGATAGTGATGTAATTTTCTCAAGTAGAATGAACACTGGAAAGACAGAGTCTGAACAATTTGTTTGGATAGTGAGGCAACCCTGTTGCCCTGCTGCCAACTGGAGCAGAACACTTTCTGCTTCTGCAGCAGGTCTGAGCAGCACAACCTGGCTGCTTTCTGGAATGTGTAGACCTGAATCTAAATTCAACAAAGGTTGCTTCACACCACTCAGGTGGTGGAAATTAGTCTTAAAGTGAGTATAAATCATATTTATACCTACTACAAGGCTTCTTTATACGGCTAAGTCAGTGGAAAGTTGCATTGGTGTAAATGCACTTTAGGCCCTCATACTTTTAATTTGGCATAAAAAAAAGGAAAGAAAAGAGAAAGAAAACCCTTTCAATGTCTCAAGTTAAGATTGGATAACAGCCATGCTGTAACCTAAGCTAAGATTTCAAAGGTGTCTCAGGAAACAGGTCTCCAACGACCATTCACTTTTCAAGGGGGCTGAGTGACTCACTTCCTGAGACCTGTTTGAAACCCTATCCAGAACGATTATTCTGTCTGCATACAACTAGATTGTTTTCTAATGACTGACTACTCTGACAGACCCACTACCACAAAGAGTCTACTTTGGGTCAAGCAATAGAGTTCTTTGTTATCAGTGTTGGAAGATTTTACCTAGCAGTGCATGTGTTCAAGTTATATCTGACAAAGGTATTGGTTTTGCCTATGGCGTCACTGTAGTGCCACCTCGGAGGAGCTAATCAGAATAAGGCTTGGCCTATGCTCAAATACTTAAATGGCAGGTTCCCAAACAAAGAACCAGGTGTTAGTCATCCTGCAGGTCTCATTACTCCTTTTGAGTCAACAGTGAACCATTGCCCCAAAATTTCAAAACCAGCCTGTAGCAGAATTACTCTGTGACCAGTTCTTGACTGCAGGGACAAGGATTTTTGATCCAGATTTGCCATTGTTGTTTTCCTGTAATGCCAGCAGGACTCACAAAAAGTTGGATCCCATTCTATTAAAGTACATGCCCATGTTTCCGTTCTAAGTAAATAGACTGAGAAGTCAGAAGACAGCTCAAAAGGAAAATCACAACAAAGACTGAATGTTGCTAGTTGCTGATTAAGAGTCAAGTACATCTGCCAAACTAACTTCAGGAAGTTGTTTTGTTTCCCTTTGCAGTCAGTGGAAAGAGGCAGGTACTTGGAGAAGATGATACCTCTCCTCCCTGATATTATAGAAACAGAAGGGATTACTCATCCCTGGAAGTTAAATTTTTATGTCCTTTGAAAAAAGAGATGTCTTTAACAATTAATTTATGTTAAACAACTCCAGTCTCGGCCTTAAGTGCAATATCATTAAGAGCTTAAGAACTTTAAGTGCAATATCATCAAATTTATACTTAACATTGAGAAAATTGTTTAGCAGCTTATATTATGGTCTGTACTTC